TATGGAGAAAGTAATTGAGGTTCAGCAAAACAGAAACAATTTAAAATAACCAAAAGTGATAAAACACTTATATGAGATATGATTACCAAAGGATAAAAGTTCTTAAATACATAAACGACATTCCTTTGCTCCCTCCTTTTATCAAAACCATTTTCCTGTTTCCTGTCAGCTGGTGGACTGGAGCTGGAACCGCTACGCAGACAAAAAGTTCCAGTTTGTGGATCAGTCGCTGGTTGACTGTGTGCGATCTAAGACGAACAAAGATGCTACAGAGTTCTTCAAACTGCTCTCACTCTGCCACACTGTCATGGTGGAGCACAAAGAAGGTAATCCTAAAGTCACTCAACCACCACGACTGACTGTGATAGGCTGTGGCACTCAACAGTCAAGCCTAGCATACCCTAAAGAGAGCTACTCCTTAAACCTGCAGTGCTTTTAATGATTGTCTGTGAATCAATCAACTTAATTCTGTGAAGGAAATGGCACAGGACATGACCCCATCATCTGTGGTTTAATATCTGTCTCTTAGGTGATCTGGTGTACCAGGCGGCGTCTCCTGATGAAGGTGCCCTGGTGACGGCAGCCAGAAACTTTGGTTACGTGTTCCTGTCTCGTACGCAGGACACCATCACCATCTGGGAGATGGATCAGGAGGCAACATACGAAATGTTAGCGCTGCTCGACTTCAACTCTGACCGCAAGCGGATGTCCATCATCTGTAAGAGTACACGCACACACAAAATGCTGTATTCCTCTGTAGTAGTAGCTTGACTGTGACTTGCATAGAACATTGTAGAAAAATAGAAAAACCACGATATTTAAAACGTACTTTGGAACAAATTAACTCAGAAGTTTGGGACTTTAAGAGGATTTTCTTGTTCTTCTGCCACAAGACTAAAACTAATTAAGGTTTCATCCTAACAAGTATCCTGTGTGCATCCAAAGCCTGATATGTCTGCATCCTCTGAGCTACGGTTGTCCAGAAACTATTACAAACACCAGAGAGCCACACTGTCACACGTATGCACACACAGTAGTCTGAGTCAGTCACATGTGCTCCATCCTGCTGCCCAAGATACTGGAACCTCGATCATCAAAAGTGGCTTAACCTGCTGCAAAAAATAGTCTCAAACAAATGCACTTTTTCCTTCTGTTTGAGTGCAGGTCAATGGGTCTATGTCTGAGTGTCACAGACAGGATAAGGAAGTCCACAAGTATTGAGAGTATTGCCTATGAGCTGTTGTGAGAGTTGTTCACAATAAAAATATTATCCTTTTTGCTTTGAATGAGCTTTTAAAAATGGGTGGGAAAGGTACAGATGAATAATGGCTTGTTTAGCACTTAAAATTTAGAACTTGGGCTTTAATTTTGACTTGTTGCTCTTGATTTAGGTCTTTATAGCAAAGACTTGTGACTTGCAAGACCCAGATTTTGTCCCACTTCTGATCCTCAACCCCCCTGCTGTGTCTTCTCTGCGTTTCAGTAAAGTTTCCCGATGGTCGTATTCGTCTCTATTGTAAAGGAGCAGACACCGTCATCTATGAGCGACTCTCCCCCAGCAGCAAACACAAGGAAACTACTCAGTCTGCTCTGGATGTGAGTTCACATGGCTTCATTTTCAAATGCACCAGTGTAATCGCCACACAGAGCGCATCTTGGGAGGCAGATGTGAAGAAACATACACACAAGTGCATTACCTGTTTTCTTTTCAGTCTGTAGAAGGAAACACAACTGTTTTCTGTTGCAGATCTTTGCCAACGAGACCTTGAGGACACTGTGCTTGTGTTACAAAGACATCAGCGCGGAAGAATATAACGCCTGGTCTAGGAAACACAAAGAGGCCCAGGTGGTCATGGCCAACCGAGACGCTGCTCTTGACCAGGTGTACGAGCAAATCGAGAAAGACCTCATGGTGAGTGGAAAACAGCTACACTTTAGTTTGATGAAAAACATCAAGAATTAACTTTGCTTAACAAAATGTTTAGTTTCAATCAGGTAACTGGGAAACAGGATTCAGGAGGATAAAAGGAAAGGGTAGAGATACAGTATATATATATTAGGTCGTGTATAAATTGAAAAAATCATGTTTTTCATACTTGGGTTTTATTTTTGGTTTTTATTTGGGGAAAAAGTGTGAATTTTCTTGGGTTATTTTAATTGTGGGGACTATTTTGTTTTCCATTCTTTCACCAACTGACATTATAGGAGCTGTGGCTCAGCTTTGGCAGAGTTGGAAGCTCTTTGCTGTTTTGTCTGTTCAGCACAGTTGAAATGTACATTGTCCTTTGGTAGCAGCCACAACTCTTTAAAATTTCAGCTGGAAAACATGTTGAGGTGCTCTCTGCTTGTCACTATTATCTGGGTGTCTTTGAAAAAACTTTAGAAACCATAAACCTCAGCCATATAACCAGTAGTGTCCTTGTGCTTAGCTGATTGGGGCGACAGCCATCGAGGACAAACTGCAGGATGGAGTGCCAGAGACCATTGCCAAACTGGCCAACGCCAACATCAAGATCTGGGTACTGACTGGAGATAAGAAAGGTACCGTCACATCAGACTACAGACACGAGTTGATCTAGAATAATGTGCAGTACCAACAGACAGACATGTCTCAGTGGGGGATGACGACAGTGTTTAAATACTTAAGGATTCAGGAATCAATCGTTCCTTTTTAGAAATGAGATTAAACAAAACAAACCATGTTTTTAATGTTTTCCCCAGAAACGGCAGAAAACATCGGCTATTCCTGTTCACTTCTGACAGACGACATGCAGATCCACTATGGAGAAGATGTCAAGTGAGTTCATTAATATGTCCAAAACAGTCATTTGTTTAGTCGATTTTTGGGGCTTTTAGTGTTTGTGCTATGTAAGGCTTGGAA